GAAATATACTTAATTACAAGAATTAAAGTGTGACAAACTGCTAAATATTCTATATGATGATTTACCTGCTGGCTTGCTGGAGCTTTGAATTCATGTTTGCAATGTTGAACTGCCTTTAGCAGCCTCCCTTCGCTCTTTCTCTTTCTCTCTGTCTTCTTTTTTGCGAAGGCATTTTTTTTCTACAAAATGTGCCAACAAAAGTTAATTTTTTGTTATTTATGATAGATCTGATCGGGTATAATTTGATTAGACATTCTAATTCTAAGAATGTGGATATTTTGTTGTAATCACCTTTAATCACTTTACCGACATAAATACAAAAACAAACTACCAAATGACTAATTCAGCGAATCATCCACTGACTGTAATGTGGATTGTAATGCATCTACCTGTTAATGAAGGAGCTTCGGGAACTGTGGTCTCCACTGCAGAGAGAGGAACACAGGCTGTGAGTGATGCTGTGGATGCAGTGGCTCTAGTCACCGGGCCACCCCCCTGTGCACGGCCCTGGTCAGAAATGTTTCTTGAGCAGCATATCAGTATATTAGAATGATTTCTGAAGGATCATGTGACGCTGAAGACTGGAGTAATGATGCTGAAAATTCAGCTTTGATCAAAGGAATCAATTACATTTTAACATATATTCAAATAGAAATCAGATATTTTAAATTGTAATAATATGTCAAAATATTCCTGTTTTGTTCTGTATTTTTAATCATATAAATTAAAACTTGGTGAGCAGAAGAGACTTAACATCTTTAAAAAAAAATCTTACCAACCACAAACTTTTGAATGGCAATATACGGTGTATATGTGTGTGTGTGTGTGTGTGTGTGTACCTACTTAACCATATTTTGGGGACAAATTTGTACCCAAAAGTGAGCTAAACCTGACAAAATCTCCAAAAACCTCCCTTTGGTGACGTCCTCATTTGTCAAACTGGTATAAAAATAAAGTAAACAAAGTTTTTTTTAAATTGTAAAAATCCAGAAAGTTTCCTGTAAGGGATAGGTTTAGGTGTAGGGTTGGTGTAGAGTGATAGAATATACAGTTTGTACAGTATAAAAACCATTATGCCTATGGAATGTCCCCATTTAGATAGCTAAGTAAACGTGTGTGTGTGTGTCTGGTATAAATAGCTGGTAACAAAGCACTTAAGCTCAGGTTGCTCTGTAGGGACTGTCCTGTAGTAAACGTCCGATCAGTTGCTTTCTTGGAGAAAAAATGGGTTTGCTAACTGACAAATAGCCTCATATATCAGGTAGTTGAAATTGTCCTCGCAGAAGTAAAGGCTTGGAAGGGAATCTTTGTGCTGTTTTCCAGCAGTGTTACTCATAACACAGAGGATGTGGAGTGGCAGCAATTTACTGCGGCTGCCAACGCATCTAATTCAACAGCGTACAGTTACCGAGACCAACAAAACACTCTGAACAGACTGCTGGAGTGCGACAGTGAGAGATGGAATGAAAAGAAATTAAAAGCTTATTGGTGGAACCAGTGCAAAGTGTATAATTTCAGTTTTTCATTCATTTCCTTGGGTTTTCGATTCAAGAATTCTTGACTTTGATGCAATGTTTTGGAATTGATTCCAAAAGTTAATTCCAGACTAATTTAGTAAAAGAGAGAGGCAAAATGGGACTTGACCATTTTTATTCAAACTAAATAGATCTTTTCTTTGTACACACACACACACACAGAGAGATTAGCTGTAGCAGTAGGATGCATCTTTAAAAAATCATTTGCGGTCGTTCGGTCTGAAATGAATGAACTGTTGACACTTTTCATTCGTGCTCTTGTGTTCACTTACCCTTGGCCTGTCTGACATTGACTAACCCTCATGACCACTAATCGTGTTAACCAGCTGCAAAAGTGTTTTCATGACCCTTGACATAACGCAGGCCTGTAAATACAGAAAAAGCTGCACAATGTTCGATTTCTTGGTCCTTGATGATTGCTGTTTGTCAGGTTGTATGACTCCTGTAACCCAGCGTTTTATGTTTTTAATTATGCAGAAATCATTTCTGAATGTTCTCAAAATGTTTACATTTTTAAATGTTTTGATTTAATTTTTTTTTCTTATACGATTGTTAAGGGAATAGTTCATTTTATAAATGTTCTCTAAATGCTCAAAATGTTTTTTTATCAGTTATATGAATGTTAAGGAAACATTTTATTATATTATTTTTTTAAATGTTTTAAAACCATTTTTCATCTTGGTTATAGGAACATTATAGGAACATTTCATTATATAAACATAATGGGGGCATTTCTTTTGAATGTTCTCTAAACCTTCAAAACATCCAGTTTTTAAAATGTTTTGAAAAAAATTATTGGTTATTTTTTCTTGGAATGTTAAG